AGAGTTGCCTTTTCCTTTGTTATCAACCTGATATTCCATTGTCTTAGTAACAGTCGAAATTTTTGGCTTACTTAACAGGAGGGCAGGCATATCCATTTGTAGTCAATGATTAAGGCATCTATAGACTCAAGTTAGTCTCCCATCCAGCTCGGGAATCCAGACTTCTGGGGCCGGTTTAGTAAGGCGAGAGTATACATGATAAAAAAATGTTTGAGGCAGAGTGGGAAATAGCGCCTTGAGGGGTACAGATAGGGTGGCAATGGTAGAGTTTATCCCTGAACCAGGGAGATAAGAAACGGATGCTACGAGGCAAGAGGGAGGCTAATAGGACTTGGAGGAAGAGAATTGCGGGCTAATAGGCCAACTTCAGATCAGCATTCCGAGCACAAGTAGGGATAATAAAGCCAATGGGAAGAGTGAATAGGTATCATTAAATCCTCTGAAAAGGGCACATCAGAACCAGGTTTAAATAAGTAAGAAATTGTGATAATGAAGTGGTGATAGGTAGAGAAAGAATTTTTGTTTACCCTAGGAGGAAAGGAGAGGTACTCCAACCGTTTAGAAGATAATTGGTCGAGGGATTGACTTGATATGTCTGACGAATTTTCGTGTAGTGCTAAGATGGGCAGGCCTACTGGCGATGCTGGTAAGCGTCTGAGAATGTACCAAGTCCACGTTCCGACTCTGGAAATTGTCATGTATGCGATGGACTCCGGACACGTTGCGTTCCTATAGTTGCGAAGACGAAAAATAATTATAGTTCATACTCACTACTTTTATAGTTTTCCTTGTATATTCAGATTTATTGAGATATTCAGCAACTCTAGACAATATGCATTAGTTCCTTATATTATCATGCAAACTGATCAAAGTCCCATCCATAGTGAACCTAATTGTAGACTTAATTTTGTGTTTAACTTGATTACTTCATATATCCTATAAGGCCTTCTCTATTCGTGCTGTATCGCATTTTCGTTGCTGTTTAGTTGCCATCAACACTCCCAGCTTCATTCGAACTGTGGATCTACATACTTAGATTTGATATCGTTGAACCCTATGTCACAGCCACACACTGTCTAAATTAGATAATAATCAATAATTTCAGGGCACATTAGCCTCTGTAAATTCATGAAGATGTCTGGGTTTTAACGCTCTTCAAAGGTCTATGAGGGCAAAAATATAACTTGTTTCGCTAACTGTATTCTTTTGGGAAGCAAGGCTATGTGAAATTCAATGGAAACGTAATGCATACTCATATAATTTTGGGAAACTTCAAATATTAGCCTTTTCATCACCTTAAACGAAATACTGTAAATACAGCTCTTATATCATATCTACTGGTAGTCTCGAAGAGCCTACTTATGAAACGAGAACTTTGCATAATTTATGTCAGACACCTTCATTGGTTTGGTATATTGGCGCATTTCTTGTGAATGCTAGTTTCTCACCATAATGGTGTTTTTCACATGCCTGACGAAAAATCGACAGTTTCATACCTTGTTTATATCAGTCATATATACATATGTCCTTAGATTGGCAATCCTCCGTCAGCATTATAGAAAGCAGGGTCCTATAGCTTATTTTGTTTATCACTGTAAATGCCCATTTATTCCCTTTGTTATTAATCTTATTATATCTAAAGGTGACCTGGGCCCTGTATATGGATTTCAGTGGCGCCATTCTGGAGCTGAATATCTCGATGCTCGTACAGACTATACTGGGCAAGGTGTAGATCAACTTTCCGAGGTAATCAGATTGATCCGTGAACGCCCTTGGGACAGGCGCATTCTCATCGTTGCTTGGAATTCTAAAGGTAATATCGTTTTCTTTCGATTTATGTACAGTCTTGTTTGAAATACCATCTCTGGAGATTTTTAACAGAGCAAAATTTTTTTAAAAACGACAAGTGTTTTGATTAAAGTTCATTTATCATTTCAATATAACCTTGTCCACTCGAAGGAAGTAGTTACACGTGAGAATCAAAACGCAAAATTTGTTTTTATATGCATCAGCTTGCTTTTAGGAAGAAATTTTTCGAAACAATCTTTATTCCTTAGCTGTGCTATTTTTCTTAAAATTTTCTCTCAAGGGGATCAGATAAACTTGCATGACTTGTGATAAAACTACAATGTTTTGGAACTCGATCTAGCAGTTTGCTGCATGCTGTAAGATGTGACTTAGCTGAAGTATTTATTAAGTCCGGGAAGTAATCCTCCATATGAAAAAGAGTTCTATTCCTAGTCCGCTTAGAGCAATGACGAACTGAAGGTTGGATTATCCCATACTTATATGAATAAGCCTGATGCTTAAATTGAATTTAACCATCCTTAATTCCCAAAAATAGACTGCAGTTTTGACCTCCCAGCACTTCCAGTGGGAATCGAAACAAGGTGGTGCGGCATATAATTCCGACCTTACCATTACATCACATTGTTTTGAATGCCCTTGGGTCACAAGGCAGACGTGAATTTCAAAGAGGGCCAAGCCTCTCATCACCTTTATGGTTAAGGTTTCGAAAGCCCATTAGTTGATTTGATATACGGCTTTTTTACTGTCCCTCGTATTATTTATTTATTGTTTGCTTATAAACATATTTCCCTATTATTGTAAATTAATATGATTTTTTATTTAATTCCCATATAATCATAATTTTTGACGACAGTCCTGTCACATGAGATATATTCGCCC